GCGGCTGAAGCCGTTGGCCGCCGCCTCATCTCCGAGGAAACGCTCGGCCATCGGGAGAAGGAGGGCTCGACGGCGACGCACGGGAGAGGGAGGGCTCGGGAGAGGGGAGGTCTCGGCGGCGGCTCTCGGGAGAGATAGAGCTCGGCGGCTAGGGCTGATGTGGCCAGAGGCGAGGGAGGCCACTGGCTTATATAGCCGCGCCGCGCCCGTGTGTATGCGTACGAGGGAGGGGAGGCGTCGGCGCGCCGCCCCGTGACGCGCCGCTCGTGAGAAACTAGCAATGAATGTTGCCAACATGTGTATGCATCATCTAAAACACATATGTGTGCATCAATCATTTTGTGATCTATAAACCAATTTCATCCATCGATGCAAACAAATTGGACCGCCGAAGCAAAAAATCTGATGCTTACAAAGCATGGTTACTAGAAACATCGAATTGAAAATAATATGTGTGTGGGAACAAGTGATGATGAAACGGCGTGCGATTCACGCAATGGATGGATTACCTTTGTTTCAAGGAGGGACTTCGAAGAGGTGGAAATGATTAGAGGACACTGCTGGTTCTCCGGCAGATGGATGGTGCTCCGGCAGCCGGTTCAAACTTCCAAGGTCTAGGCACCTCGTGAGGCAACAAACACGCTGGAGACGGCAGACATGGTCACCTCCTAATGCATCACGTCGTGGGGTAGATCGTTACAGGGGATCAGATCTGGGCAGTGTGGTGAATTCGGTCGTCGACAGTGAATTGCGTCCTTGGCGGCATGGTGAGAAGAATGCATGGTGCGGAGGAGATGGAATCTTGGCGGCACAATCGGAGAGAACAAGGGCGGCGATCTCGGAGGAAGGTGCAACGGAGCCATGACAGAGAAACTGAGGTTCAGGAGAGATGGAGCGGGAGAGGAATCAGGGGTTATGCAAACGTGACTGCATCAATTACGGGTTGTTAGCAAAAGCAGGCCCTCGACCATGGGGTTAATCAAGTATCGACGGATCTCCTGTGGTCTGACGATTCACTTGTATCAGACTACTGATGGAAAGTGTTTCCCTATAATTAATAGGTTCATCTTTTTTTAGAGGAATTGATAGATTTAACTAAGCTGTCAAATATCCATGAATTGTACCTAACTTATGACAGCATTTTTGTTTTCGTAATTGTACTAAAATTGACCATGGTCGTTAGATCTTCATGACTACTCAGATCGATCAAGCTTTTTAGATCTTTTATAATTGTACATGTCACAACTGCAAGATCAATCATGCGTACGTACCGACCTTAAATTATGCATAAACAACTTAGCCAATAGCGAGTCCATTTTTTAAAAGTAACACAGTGCATTTCAACAAATTGTTGAATAATATACTATGCAAATTAAAGGTAGTAATAATCAGTAATACTTCCTGAGAACTTGCTTCACATGGTTGTTAGGAAAGTGGAATTCATTCTTTGGTACTCTTTCCGTTCCTAAATATAAGTCTTTTTAGAGATTTTAATATGAACTACATATGAAGCAAAATAAATGAATCTAGACTCTAAACTACATTTATATACATCTGTATATAGTTTATATTGAAATTTCTAAAAAAACTTATATTTCGTTGGTATGCCAGTCTCTGATCGATCTGCACACACTAGCTCGGTGATATGCGGAACTTGAAGGAAATCGTTGCGGGGCTGCACCATGTGATCGGCCGGGCAAGACTAACGGGCAACTGCACCCAGTCCAACACGAAATATCGCGCTAGCTTCTCATCGGGTTAACACATCTAAATCGGATTCTTTTATTTGTAAAACCTTTTGGTTGCCTCCACGTGAGCTCGCGATTTCCCATGGCGTGCGCATGCATACCCTCTCCCCCCTCACTGCACTCTCTTAAACTACCAAGCCCGGCAATCGAGCCAGCCAAATGAGCACTGGCAAACGGAGGAGAAACTAGTAGACTGTTTGACTAGCAAACTGTAGAGAAACCACAAATCCCCCGCTCCACCACCATTAGCATTCCACGGACGAAACCAGCACGAGAAGCGGCAGCTCCAGAGCATGGGAAATGAGCTTGACGCTTTCTCAGAGGAGCTTCGACGGCGGCTAGAAGTAAGGATTATCAACAAGTATGCCGTCGTTACGGCGTACGTCAGAATTACCCTGAAATCCATCGGGGCCTTGCTGCTTTTGTGGGCCACCGTGGTCCTACTGGGCGGCTTCGTCTCGTCGATGAAGAAGGACGATTTTTGGTCTGTGACCATCATCGCATTCGTGCAGGCTGCCGGGTTAGTGCTTAGTATTCAGCTCTCTCCTGAATGCAATCTTTTTCCGGTTTTGCTATTTTTTAGTCCCTGAAATTATTCAAAGCGTTGTTCACCTTTTCTTAGTTCATCCTAAACTCGCCGAAGAAGAAGTAGCCCCAGTACCTATCTTAGGCGGTCCCCAAATATTTTCTATTAAATTTGTATCGTTGATGTTAAGTGTGACGTGAAGTTCCCCATGATTTTGAAAGGATAACATATGTAACGTGCTCTCTCCCGTATCGCTCCCGGCGGGCGACCTGGAGCCACCCTAGCCGCCGGAAGACCTCTCACCCGATATATCGTCTGGTTTTATGTAAAAATCATGCAAATGTGAATGAATATCATCCGATTTGTTTGAGTCCGAATAAAATTTGTTCATTTTCATTGAATTTCATTTGAAATGTATCCAAACATATGTGGCTAGCTTTGGATGGTCGTCTCCTGCATCCGTGTCCGCGGACTTGTCAGATGCGGGAGGAAATTTGAGGGTCAGTGTTGGGAGAGGCGAAATGTAGTCCCCTTCCTTTTGTTTACCATTTTCAATTTTCTTGTTTTTTTTATCATAATTTTAAATTTTCTTGTTGACATCATGTCCTGTTCTAACTGGAACAACACAGGGTATTCGAAGCAATCGGATTTGCTGGCATGGATTTATATTGGGAGACACAAGATTTTTATCATAACGTTAAATCTTGGTTACAAAAGTGTTGGTGTGTACTTAACCAGTTGCCTATGAGACAATGGTGGAAGAAACAAATACAAAAGGTCGTGTCAGTTCTAATAGTTATCACTCTGTACGTGCGAGCTGTCCTAGTGTTGGGCCTCGCTGTTAGTGGACCATGTGTTTGCTTACATGCGTCGAGTCGTGCAACAAATCAAGACTATGGCATCGCGGACGGGGAGGCAATTAAAGCAAATATGAAGCGGGCGCTGAACTTATTCTACAACGCAGTTTCTGCTCACAGCTTCATATCCGTATTTTGGATGCCGGCTCAAGCGTTGGCTAATAAGTTGATCGAGGATATTGTCAGCCGCCAACATGGTTTCAGCCGCAAGGTAATTCGTGCATATTTGCGCAAAACTAAAGACATGTGTCTAAAGAACAAAACGTCTGCAACAAGCTGGAATTTCATCACATATGGTGCCGGCTTGCTGGATTCCAGCTTACCAGAAGAATATGCGGCTGGAGGGAGGGTACTAACTATGCTGATTGATAAGGATATACCATCGCAGGTAAGACGGCTGCTGATCAGGTCACCCAGACAAAGAATACAGAAGCTGATCGACACCCTTGCTTGGAGAAGCCCAGCCGACCAAGAGATGACATGGCTTGCAGCGAGAATTGTGGAGCATCTCGCTAGCGACCTCAACCTTGCTCACTTTCCAGGAGCATTGGAATGCATATCCTCCCTCTTCAATCAATTACCAGTTGTATCTGGGCAAGGAACTAAGAACCTGGTATTGCCAGGCTTGAGAATTCTTGAGAACCTGGCTCATGATGAAGATAACTGTAGAGCGATATACAACAGCAAGGGTCTTCTTTCCAAAATAGTTGCGCCTCTCCGCTCCAATGAATTAGTACAAGATATCAAGAGCAGTGCTGCATGGACCAAGGTAGTACACGGGTCACTGACAGTGGTGACGAAGCTCATGTCAACTTGTGCAGGAGCCACTGGCAAAGAGATGCGAGGCCTAATTGCAGATGATAGTCATGTGGTCGGAAACTTGGAGGCCGTCATCGATATTAAGAGTGACAGCAGTATCACAAGCCTGCAGGTGGGAGCTTTAACGGTTCTTATACAATCAGCAGTGCATAATCCAGCAAGTACTTTCACGGAAAGACTTATTAAGAGGGCACTGCACATCTTCATTTCCACGGATTGGACGGGAGATTATTTGAATCATGATAAAAACAGGATGAAAGAAGCTAAGAGAACTGCAAACCTGCTTAAGCAAAATGCTGGTGGAGCATTGGAAATACTGTCCAGTCATCCAGAGGCTATCAAGAGCTTCACAGTATGCGATGATGATATCCATCGTCTTACTGAATTGCTGGACTGCAATATTAAGAGCACTGAATGCAAAATAAGTGCAACAGAGACAGTGGAGATAGAGATCAGCATTAGCTGTCGTATTAGCGCAGCAGTCATCTTGAAGCATTTGAGCAAGTACGACAAGGAACCAACCTTACGGAAGGTATGCTGGAACGCACCTACTGCATGCCACAAGTTTTCGGCAATAAACTTTCCCAGGGAAAAAATGTACAGGCAAGGATGGGTGCTTTAGTTTATGGTTTATCTACTTATCAAACTTCAAATAATTCTAAAAAAAATTGTAGACTTGCATCTTGTTATAACATGGGCACCTACCAAATTTAATGAAAAAAAGATCATGTTTGTCATGTACAAAAAAGACAAGGGCCTGCTGTTACACTGTTAAAAAAAATAAGTTGAACAGTCTTTTTTGTGCAGGGTATATTTGATCATATTTTTGCACAAAATTTAGTAGGTGCTCAAGTTACAACAAGATGCATATGATTTTTTTAGAATGTTTTAGACAGGTAATTAGGTAACCCTAAACTCAAGCATCCACCCTTGCAAGTACAAAATCCACTCACTTAATTTTTTTGAGCTAAAATAATATATGTACGTGTATCGTTGCAGGCACTCGAGCAATTGTTTCCTATACAACAAGATGAACCTATCAAGGACAGGACGCTGCAAGCATTACTGTTATCACTCGTCGTGGAGATTTGTGAGAACAGCAATATTGATCTTGCAGTAATCTTACTTCAGCAGACGCCGTCGGATTCCCTGGAAGACTTTGTGGTGAGTCTCAAGAAGATGGTGGAGGACAACATGTACGGCCCCGGTGAGTGCCTGGCGATACATAAACTCAGCTGCAGGATGGTTACAGAACTCATGAAGCATGATCGAAACATCCAAGTGATCGACAAGCGTAATATCGTTGGCACATTATTGGAGGCTTCAAAGGCAATGGCCGAGCTTGAGAGCAGCATGCTTTTTTCTGGGTTCAATCATTATGACCGCTACGGGGTTCCTCTGAAGCCTCTTTTATCTGTTCTCTCCAAAAATACAGAAGATCTTTTGACACAGAAGAAACAGGCCCTGGGCATCTACACTGTGCCTGCCTCTGTACCAATACCACTACCATGATTGTTGCATCACGGAGTATCTGGTTATGGTAAAAGTACCGAAAAATGTATTGAATTCGTGTTGGATGCTTGTTGTTTCTGCTTTTGTTTCCTTTGCCAACTTGTGCGAATTTGTAATAATTGATGGTGATGCTTGTAAGAACTGCAACCGTTTGTGCATTAAGTTTCCAATCCATCTTCTGCATCAAGGCTATATGAATCAATATTGCGCCTGCCAGTGTACGAGCTCAGCTTGGATCTGCCGCCTGCAATTCTCACCCATGTGCCACTTCTGTTGAGACTTGCTTAATTTGTTACTCTACTATCCATTGTTGACATCTTAACTGGGAGATCTCATTCTGCCAATGCTGAATGGTCAATTTTATCTTGTTGTTCGTCAGTCCATGTAACTGACAGTGCAACTGCATCTTTGTGGAGTCATTTTATCTTGTTATTCGTATATTATCAGTTACTCAACAAAAATGTTCAAAAACGGTTATCTTGTTGTCCCACGGAGCAGTAGCTTTGTTCGCCCTGTGGTGTGAGCAGTAAACCTTTTAATCCCACGGAACAGCCGATAGCTGCTGAGCATCGATCAGGTTCACCAGAGTAAAATTCAGTCGCAATCAGTCACTCACCCTACCTTCACCTGTATCCCTTATCTCCTTCTACTCCTCTGTTTCTAGCTTAGCACGGCTTGGTAATGGCCAGTTGCACTTTCCGTGCAGCGCTGACACTACCTTCATGTAATTGACATTGGTCACTCAGGTTTTATACCTGTTTTGAAATGAAAAAGGCAGAAACTGCTCTGCCTTTTTTTTCAAAAACAAGTCACTCTCCTATCCAGGTCAATCGAGTTCAGATTTAAACGGGACCCTGAATAATGACCCTCAAATCACCTAAACATTTTCATACACACATTGAAAACTTTTTGGCACAAAACCTTTTCAAAATTACATAGACATTTTTTACATTGTGTCAACCTTTAAAAAAAAGCACAAATATGTTTTTCCAATTTGTGATATTTTTAAAATGTCACGAGCATATATATTTTTAATTGTGTGAGACAATTTCCTACATTATGCCAACATTTTATTACATTGCATAAATTTCTTGAAGGGCATGAACATATTTCTGAAACGTTTGAACTTTTTTTGAATTGTCTAGAACATTTTTCTGAGTGGTACAAAACAGTTTTTCTACATCAGCAAACATTGTTTTAAATGACACAACCATTTTCTTTAGTGGTACCAAACATTTTTTCTACATTAAGCGAACATTTTTTTACATTGTATTGACATTGTTTTTAACATTTAGTGTATTTGAAAATGCCGCGAGCATTTGTTTCAAACTCGCTAACATCTTTTTAATGGTATCAGCATTTTCTAAAAGTTTCACCAATATTATTTTCACACCGAAGAAATATTTTTTTTTTCTGAACATGATATGCATGTTTTTGAAAATTTAAGTAAATAGTTTTCCATTCATTTATTTTGAGATAGAATAGTTTTCCATTCAAAAAATATATATATATACAATTAATAGAAAAACATGCAGAACAGGACGTGGGCCGGCCATTTATTAAGCACTAGGTTGTTCGGCCTCACAAATAAGCAAAAACGTGAAAAGGCGCTTCTGTTTTTTTAGGGGTAAGCGCTTCTCATGTTGGCATCGAATAGTGCAGGGAAATCACTAATTCAAAAGTACTCCTTTCAAAGATCACTCACACCTCCCCAGATTGCAACAAATGGCACGTTGCATGTGCGTGACTTGCCACAACCGGGGAGTTTTCAAAAAAATTGTAGATCCATTTATTTAAAATGTGTTATCTCTTAAACCGTGCATCCAAATCTTGAACCGTTTTCACCGTTCGATTCCTCGCGTGGAGATTTTCAAAACTAGATCCGGTGTTGACAGGTTTTGACGGTTTTTTTATAAAAAACCACACGGGGAGCATGTTTTTTTCTTTCCTAAAGTTGTTTTCCGAGAGGCGCGTCCGTGTCTCTCACGGAAGCACATATGTGCCTCCCGTGGAAGCAAAACCATGCTTCTCGCGAAAACAAAAAACGTGTTTTTTCGCTTATCACAGTAACAAATCCGTGCCTCTCACGGAAGGAAAAAAACGAGAAAACATATTATTTTTTATTTCCTAGAGGCACGGCCGTGCCTCTCGCGGAAGCAAAACCATGTCTGTCGCGAAAGCAAAAAAGTGCCTCTCGCGGAAGCAACAAAAACGCGTTTTTTTGCCTCTCGCAGAAGCAAGTTCGTGCCTCTCATGGGAGCAAAACTGTGCCTCTCACGAAAAAAAGCAAAAAGAAAACACTTTTATTTTTCATTTCCGAGAGACACGGCCGTGCCTCTCGCGGAAGGAAAACCGTGTCTCTCGTGAAAGCAAAAACGTGCATCTCGTGGGAGAAAACAAATGTGTTTTTTTTCGGTTTCTGAGAAGCATGGCCATGCCTCTCGCGGAACCAAAACTGTGCCTCTCGTGAATGGAAAATTGCGCCTCTCGTGGAAGAAAGAAAAAACATGTTGTTTCGTGTAAATTTTGATTTCCGAAATTTTTTGTTGAAAAGCTAAGAAAGACCGGGAAAAACCGAAAAGCCGAAAAAAAACATCTAAAAAGGCGAAAACGCGAGCGAAAAAATTAGAAAACAAAATCGGAGGGAGCGCCCAGAGCGTGACATGTGGCAGCGGTTGAGAGTGCACCAAGTGACGCGCTCTTAGCCCACCCCAAGTGATCCTTGAGGAGGCTCCCGAATGAGCCCTTCTCAATTAGTTGCTCTCGCTGTCTTGTGTATTGAGGGAGTATTGGTGTTTTAGTTGGTTTTTGACCCCAAAAAAACCGACTGTTGTTTCTCTAGAGCTACACATTCAAAAACTATTTAAAATGAAAACATAATTTCGAAAATTGTTCAGTATAAGTTTTATAAAAAATGTTCTGTGTATATTAAAAAATGTTCAGTGTGCATAAAAAAATATTCATCACATAATTTGAAAAGTTCATCATATATTTAATAATATTCAACGTATATTACAAAAATATTCATCATATACTTTGGAATGTTCAGTGTGTATTTTAAATGTGTTCACAGTATATTAAAAAAGTTTGGTGTGTATTTGACAAAAGTGTTCACCTTATATTGCAAAAGTTTAAAAAAGAAAATGTGCCAAAAGAAAAAACAACTCTGAAAAGAGAAGAAGAAAGCAGTAAAATTGAAAAATGAAAAAGAAAAACCTTGTCGATCGTCGTATATTACTAATTATTTCACCTCTTCACCTCTTGCTAGCTCAGGCTTCACCGTCGTGACTGGTCCATGTCGATCTACTTAGCAGCTGTAGGAGACGGCGACAGGAATTTGCGTGCTTACAAACAACCATGTTATTTTTGGTCTTAAGCCAAACAGTTTCTGTCTCGATTCTGGGTCGCAAGTACTCCTACTACCAAGTACCAAGGTTACAGATTCTGCCGCTTCCAGGTCTGCTTCTTGTAGCCGAGGCGACTGCACGCAGAAGATAGAAGTTCGCCCCTTCTTGTTGTTTTACTTTGTTGCTAATGGAAAACTTAGCTTTCAAAACTTCAGTTCTTGTACTATTCAGATGCTTTTTCAAATCACAATCTGTTCTTTTACAGAGAAAAATCGCCGTTCCTTTTGTCCAGATGCAGTTCGTGCACACATCCGCAGGGAGCACTTCGCCCTAGGAAGCTGTTGCATACGAATCAGCAATATGTCCTCTCTTCTCTTGCACTAGGGAGCGCTTTGCAGTAGGATGGCTTTACACATCAGCGGGCCTGTCCTCTCTTGCCCTGCTGGTGCACCACCACCCATGAACGTTGCATTGCAGTATTGAATTCTCGGTGTGTGCTTGCTGTTTTGTTTTTCCGTTGTTAACTTTTGCGAACTTATGGGCCTTTGTAAACTGTAATAATGAATTGTGTTCACCTTCGGGTGTAGAGACAGTGGGCAGAATTGACAAATTTGACCTCAAATTGAAAATATTTCACAAACTAAACTGTTTTTTGAAATATTTCACAGCGTTGACCTTTTTATGCAGCTCCCAACAGTAAGGCGCTGCACTTTACTATGCAACTCCTTACAGTTAGGCGCTGCACAGTGTAGTGCAGCTCCTTGCAGCTAGGCGCTGCACAGTGTGGCGCCTGTGTGTTAGGCGCTACACAGTAAGAGTGTAGCGCCTTGCTGTTGGGTGCTGCACATTAGAGGTCAGCTGGGTGAAATACTTTCAAACATAGTTTGGTTTGTGAAATAGTTTCGTCCTGAGGTCAAATTTATGTTTTTGGCCGAGACAGTGAGTGTAATCCTTTCATTTGTTAAAATAAATCCGAGGTACGCGGTCGATCCATCGAGGAACAAGCAATCACAGATAATGACGACACCGAGATTTGTTAACGAGGTTCGGCGAACTCGCCTACTCCCCGGGGCAATGACTACGGGCGCTCCTCCCCGAGATACCGCAACACCGGCCACCCGGGCGCTGGCACAAGCCGCCAGCACCCCCTTGCGAGCATGTCGCTATCTAGTCGTCATGGGTTACAACGTGGGGTGCCTCCTCATATATAAAAGGCCAAGGGTACAACGTGTCCGACTCCGACACTACACGTATCCTACCCACACTACAACACCAAGTCCAAGCGTAACCCTACTAGTACAAAATATTCGACACAAACCCAACAAACTCCACCTTGGCGAATATTCTCCACCACCTTGAATTTATCCATGCGTCAAACTTCCATGTACTCCGGACTTGTGTTGTCTTCTTCGTAGCTTACTGAGAGCTACTCGACGAGTCTGCCCCAGACCCGCCGCCGCCGTGTGACCCCGCTGCTACTCCCGCAACTCCAGTCTCAGTGACTCCACCTGCAATAGTGGTCCCTTGCAACTTGTAAAGATGCGAAGCCGTCCTCGCTCCAATCATCACGGTCACCTCATCTTCCATGATTCTCATGGTCTTCTTATCCCGATCACAACGGAATACCATACCACCATCATGAAGAACTCCAAG